CATTTTAAAAGATGATATTTTAAAAAGCTAAACCATTTAAAGGAGAAACAGGACTCACATATAATATACCTACCACAGTTTTTCGTATTTAACAATACAGAACATTTCACACCATGGCCTTTAAATCTCATTACAACACGGATAATAACAATATGTGACTTATCTAGGAAAAGTTGTAACGAAGAGAAATGTTTTACTTTAGTTGTTTGATTTAAAGTATGGCATTTTTGAAACCCCACTGTTTCATGTGATTAACAAAGTTCAGAAGTCGTGTGAGTTTGGTTTAAAGTAAATGATATACATTATAATAAACCTGCACCTCTGCACGGGTATGAGAAGCTGTTATTGTTTCATGAATGCATGAAAATGTATGTGACCCTCGGAGCTTCACCTTTCTCTTTCACCTGCATCTCTGACCCCGTGCTCTCCTCCGCAGAGATCCCTCAGTGTGCAGGCTGTAGTCAGCACATCCTGGATAAGTTCATCCTGAAGGTGCTGGACAGGCACTGGCACTCCAAGTGCCTCAAGTGCGCCGACTGTCAGACTCCGCTGGCGGACAAATGTTTCTCCCGAGCAGGAAGCGTTTACTGCAAGGAGGATTTCTTCAAGTCAGTGCACTTCTTGCTTTGCTTTCTTATTGTTTTTGTGTTAGTGACAAACCTGATGCCAATGGTCCAGGCTTTCTTTTACAAACTCAGGAGGTTTCCTTTTCCAGAGTCATGTCGTGTTTTACTTGACAAACTCCAAACAAACGAGTTGCACTCAGAGCAAGAGACGATTTAACCCAATAACGGGGTTAGAATGAGAGTAAAGCTGTTGTTCTTTTGGCTTCCTATTTGAATAATTCTTATTTGATACGTACAAAACAACCAAGCCTCTCGTTTGGATCGTATTTGGTAAAACAAAACTGCTGGCAACAATAACCCAAATTTTTAATTTACGAAGTTGACTAACTTAAATCCAATTGTTTGGGAATTCTCACTTTAATATTTTACTTTCTTTTGAAAGTATTGTGTTCTAAATAAACTGCGTAGAAAATAACACCTTGGGTAAAACACTGTGTTCGATTTAATAAATTTTTGCATCGAAACAAAAACACTGAGAGCAGAGAAACTGTGGTGAATACCATCTTGATTTTATTACTTGGGTTAAAGGAATTATTCCTTGGGTTTTTATAATTATGTCTGCTACTTAGTTACAAATGAATGTTATTATTTAGCTCAGTTTAAGGCACCATGCAGGCCTTTGGTTTATTTTAAAATGACTATATGTTTTGTGTTGACAGTATTTGTAATACTCAGAATTATTCCTCACAATTTTTTTAATTCATATTTTAGTGACTGTTCTGTTGTACTGACACCATAAAAGAGACAAATTTCAAAATAAGTGCTCAAAACCCCTTACACTTCCCATGTTCCTTTTCTTTTTCTTTCTTTCTTCGTTTCTTTCAACCCAAGATTGGATTTCTGAGGCATTACAGAAGAAAATTGAGTTTGACTTTGATTCAGAAGAGGATCTGCCGATCTGAGCTTTTTACTAAATCATGTTTGAAAGATTTTAATGCTCAAAAGTTGAATGCGATCTAAAGAGTTCTGCAGTCTCACCGAGAGCTAACTGTGTTAGCTGACCCAGGGGACAGCAGGGGGATGTTTGCATGTTCAGAATGTGGCTGGAGAACACACACATGCATAAACAGACAATAACACATACACACAGATCCAGTAATGATTTGAAGGCTTCACCATGCTTTTTTCCTGTGGGTTGGTCATATGATTTACAGCCTCCCAGAGTCAGGGTTGTATTGGTTCTCCTCAGGGTGTGTTTACTGTGAGTACCCTTCCTCATCCTCTTCTTTTTCTCTTTTTCCTCTTTTCCACCCCCTCCTCCTCGTCTTTAGCTCTCGATACTTCATCTGCAAAAACATAAACATGCAAACATGCACCCCCACCACCACATGCACACACAGTGCATTGATTCTCTCCATCTATCAGCCTGTAGACAGGTCTATCGTTAACACAAGTACATTCCAGTGCTGATTTCTCCCTCCACAACAGCTGAAGCTTCTATTAATACAGACACTGTGTCATCACTCTTGGATGCAGTTGAAGAAATAGCTGTCTAGCATGTGAAATTTTAATCTCAGTTGGTCTCACTATCTCCATCAGCCTGTACATTGGTTATAAATAGAAGATGGATGTCAATCTACTTTGCTGCTGTTTTGCATTCAAATTTCTAATGGCAGCTCTTTTCCTCATGTTTTCCCACAGGCGTTTTGGAACAAAATGTGCATCATGCCAACAGGGAATTCCTCCAACACAAGTTGTGCGGAAGGCACAGGACTTTGTGTATCACCTGCATTGCTTTGCCTGCATAATGTGCAGCCGACAGCTGGCCACTGGGGATGAGTTTTACCTCATGGAGGATGGGAGGCTGGTGTGCAAGGTGGATTATGAGACAGCAAAACAAAACGGTAGGTGTGCGTACAGTATATCCAGAATATTAATGAACAGTTGATAGCTTAAATCCACTCGGCTCAAAAGTATTCGAATAAGGAGAAAATCAGGTTCCCACTGTATTTAAAAAGAAGAAAAAGATTAGTTTTAACAATCATGACTCATTATCGTTATATTCTGAAACAGCTTATGTGATTCAGTGTTGATTGAGCCTTTACTACTGTATGTCACAGTGACAGGTAAAGCTACAGTACATGCACTGTGTAATGCAGTGAAATGATTATTAGATGTGGATATACAGTATGTTGTTGTCATCTGGGTGTGTATGCTGCCTCCCTCCCTTTCTCTCCTCTGAGATTTCCATGCATCTCTGATTGATTATGTAAAGTGAAGCCAGACTCATATGGTGCAGCCCCAGTAATTCTGTTCCACTAGCACTGAGTAGATTTATGTCTTCTGCTGTGGGAGTGAGAGATGTATAAGGACAATAATACACTTTCATACATGCCAAATCACTTCATTTTACACACATACACTCCATGCGAAGGTCGAGGGGCAGTGCCTGCTAAAGCGACGTGACAAATTTAAGAAGATGTTATTGACATTTGTAATGGTGTTTTTAGATGATTCGGAGACAGGGACCAAGCGGCCGAGGACCACCATCACCGCCAAGCAGCTGGAGACCCTCAAAAGTGCCTACAAAAACTCGCCAAAGCCGGCACGTCATGTCAGAGAGCAGCTTTCCTCTGAGACGGGGCTGGACATGAGAGTAGTGCAGGTGGAGGGTTTTTGTCCATTTATCTGTATAAGGCTACTCCTAGTTTGGCAGACAGGTTTCTCACTAAAGCAAAAAGACAACATCAGATCCTCCCCAGTGGAGTATTTTTAAAACTGGCCACCACTTTTTAAATAATTCAGCTTTACCAAAATGATTTTAGCCTCATATGAAGCTGAGTACAAGCTAAAGTCCTCATGAAGTTTCCTTTTGTTTGTTTTAAAATATAGATAATGCAAAACTAGCACTCAGCCCTTTGCTATCAGGGCTTTCTGAGGACCTGAAAAGACATCAGGATACAAATATGTCTCCAAACTTTTTTATGTATGATGCATTTCAGAGGTTTACACTCACAACTGTTTTGTAAAAAGGCATATGATTTAGATTCAGACAATATAGTTTGACATGTTCTGAAACAGTGAGTGATGTCAGATTAAACTGAAAAAAGTTTCAGATCATGATTATTATTAGTTGTAGTAGGATTATATCATGACACTAGTTGTTACTAATGATTAATATGATTTCTGTCAGGTTTGGTTCCAGAACAGACGAGCGAAGGAAAAGCGCCTGAAGAAGGATGCGGGTCGGCATCGCTGGACTCAGTTTTATAAAAGTGTCAAACGCAGCCGAGGGGAGACGAAAGTGGAGAAGGAAAGCTCAGCTGATGACGCAGGACTCAGTGACAGTGAACTGAGCTTCAGAGGTGCCTACTGTGTGGACAACATCCACTGAGTATATGTTTTTATTGCTTAAGAGACAGATTTCAGAAAGGGAATTGTCAGTCATGCTGCCATGCTAACAGAATTAAGGGAGGCTGCTAAATGACACAAGGGCAGTAACAACTGAATGTGTCTTTGTGACATTTCATTTATTTCCTTGAGTTGTTCAGTGCATGGTATCGTTCTCAGGCAAATTCAAAATGGCATTCTCATTTCACATTCTCCTCGTACCTTCACCACGGCTGTTCAAGCCTACTCCTGCCTCAATTTGTTGAGCTTAGTATGACGCAAACAACATTTTAGAAATCCCTGTGTTATTTACAGTAATGTTTGCAAACCCAATTTTGAGTAGCCATAAAAGTCTTCAAGCTGCTTTTAACAAGAAAGCCATTTTTATGAGAAATGAAAACATGGTGACAGAAACTCTATAGAGCATGTGAGGCTTTTAGTCAATTAGTGCACCGAGGCTTTGTTGTTACTGAAACCACCCAGGGGAGGGAATGAGCTGGAGACACATTCGGTATTGTGGTAACTGCACACATATAGACCTCCTTTGTTAGGGAAGAACATAAAACACATCCTTTCTTATGAACCAACCTCAAACACTTACAGTATGAAATACCTCAGTGGCTGGTCCAACTACTGTACCTCTCTGAAATGCACACGTTGCCACAGTAACTCTCACTCATGAAAGCACTTAACTGTAGAGAGGTACAACTGTATAATGTTCATGCAGTTGACTGTTGATGTGTCAGAAGTTTTATACCCCTCATGCTAAATGACACTGTCTCTTCCACAGAGGACCAAGTCCTGTCAGAGCTTGGCCACACCAACGGGCTTTATGGGAGCATGGGAGACGTAACTAACAGCGCGGTGCTGAATGGTGGCTTCTCTGTGGATGCAGCAGGACAACCCTACCATGACATCCGAGCAGCAAGCCCCTACGGCCTCCCTCAGTCGCCCTCCTCCATCGCCTCGCTGCCTGGCCACACCCCTCTCCTCAACAACCTGGGCTTCAACATGGACGGTCTGGTGGCGCAAGGAGGACCAGGTGGGATCGGACAGGCTCTGAGAGCCATGGCGGGGGGGCCCACCTCAGATCTGTCTACAGGCAGCAGTACGGGATACCCAGACTTCCCCACCAGCCCCGCCTCATGGCTGGACGAGATGGACCATTCCCAGTTTTGAGTTACAAACATAGTAGAAGATCTTTGTGGGGACATGGCAAAACAGACTCACGAGGCTTTTTACATTTCTTTTTATCACCCTCCAAGACTGGTATGTTTTATGGTGCTGGGTGAAGAGCATAAGGATGAGAAGAAGTACCGCTCTCAGCCATTGTAACGGCGAGGCAACATACAGGTTGAGGTGTTTAGCCTGGAGAAAAACAGTCAAGAACACGTCCATGCCACTGAACTTCCGATCACAACACTATCATACAATTTTTTATTATCACCTCACTTTATTTTGTTCTTCATTCGCTGAAAACGAGACTGGATTTCCAATATGTCAGAGGATTACGCTCACAAGGGAGGCAACATTGTGTTGTCCTTGTCCATCCTTGTCTAACAGCTACAACATTAGGGCTAAAGTCTAGATCAAAGTCCCTATGAGACCCAAGAGGCACCTGCATGCTTCTGATTGAAAATGAATAGGACTGCTGTCTGGCCATATCACAGCTTTTACATTGGCAATGCACTTTACTCTCCTCTTCTTTTTCTACACACAGGGACAGGAATGCAGAGGAAAGGGATAGAAAAAGGATGAGAGACATATGCACAAGGCTAAAACACAGTGTTTCATTGGGAGAGAAATTTATAAGAACAGTGGCACAAGTGTGAATTTTGAACCATGCAAATGTTTTTAATGTATTGCTGACGCTTACAAGTTATTAAGAAGTAGATGGTCATTGGTTTGTCTGTCCATTTGTCCTTAGAAGCTGATGTCTCTTCTGTTTGCTACACAGCAGGTCTCTCTTCTATGTTTATAGGTGCTTGACTTGTTCTTGTCTGTGTAAAACTTGTCTGAGAGCAGACATTTGTCAGTGTTAAATTATCTGTTTCCAGACTCACCAGGACCTAAAGTTTATGTGTTGGAACAGTCTGAATGTTTAGGGTTTGGAGAAATTCTGGTGATATATCACACAACAGTTTTTTTAATGTATTCTGTTGAATGCACAGATGTATGACAAGGAGATATGCAGAGTTCTTTGTAGATATTATTGAGCAAATGAAATGCAGAACACTGATATTCAAAACACCAGGAAGTATTAGCAGGAACCCTGACACAAAAAAAATCCCCTCTGTGTCAGGTGTTTGTGTTTCCTCGGTCTGATCTAGGCTTCTCTTGGTAATCTACTCAGCCCAGCAGAGCTCTAGCTTTGCCCGCTATCAACCTATGTACTGGCCCCAGATGTGTTGTCAGCCTGTTCTCCCACAGCCTGGCCTCCATGTCAGAGGGATTACCACACATACAGAGCTGATACTCAACTGTATAATGAGGAACTGCTGGGCTGATGTGTTTCTTATAGCCACATCAGCTGCATCTTAAAGCCCTGACAACAACTGAGAAAAATAGACCCCTGATTCTGATACTATTGAAATGCAGAGCAGCTAATAGTTCTGCCTAATGAGCATCTCAAAACCAATGGTTGTCTTGGGAAGGTTTGCTTAAAAACACACTGCTGGGGATCATATCTTCACTCCTGTTTCTGCTTGTCTGTTGAAGAAAAGAAATCAAAGCCTTATCTATGTGGCCACTTTTTTTTTTTTCAAAAATAAAAAATAAAAAAATTGCCAAGTCCTCTTCTACCAGAGCATCCTATTGAAGAGCCAGAAAGCAAATCAGTAAACAGAAAGTTAAATCTAGACACTTTTGAAAACTTTAGATTACAGCCCACACATTATTGTATAACTGTGTTATGTACTGAATCAATGAAATCCTTACTGTGTAACTGCACTAGGTTTAATGTGTATGTATAGACAAAGGAGGCAAGAGGTTAAGGAATAAAGGGGTAACAACTGTGTGTATACAAAGGACTTGTACTACTTAAATTACATTTTTTAAATCACTGAGTAATTCAGTAATAAGTTTCAAATAAGTACAATAATTTCATCACTGATAACAAAGAAAAGGGAAAATAGTGTTTATATTTCACATGTATGACATTAATAGTGGTATAATTCAATTTAAAATTAAAATAAGTTTGGGAATCAACAGTATAAAAGGGAATAAAACATGAATTTTAAAATGTCCCGTATGCACTCTATGATTATTTCATTTGTGCCAGGTAATATAAAAAGACATCTTGCTTAATTTCAAATTTGTGAATCTCTTATTCCCTGTATTCTCTCTGTGTACATTCTGTGCCAGTAGCTACGCAGTAAGTGTTTCCTTGATACCTTAATATTTACAGTATGATGTAAACTGCAGGCTGTAATCTATAGTATTAAGTGGGAATCATATACAAACACATTACCACTACAGTTTTAAGTCTGTGTTGCCTCAGAAATTGCATTTTAATTGTTGTAAATTTTGTACAGTTTGAAAATGTGTTGATTGTCTTGTTTCATGAGCGCTATTTATTATTGCCATGTGTCTTTGAAAAAGATGTAAAAGAGAGCACTGACTTTATTCATTTATGCCTTCTGTGTAATGGTATGAACTGTGTACAGTCAAATCTATATGAGGAAAATAAAGCGGAATCGTCTTTGGGTTACCCTCGGGTGCTTTTCTCTTTAATACACCAGTCCTGCAGTGATGACTGTGAGAGTTAAGACTTCCAGCTGAAACCTGTTTTCAATATATCAAAAGAAAAGGATCTGCTGTAGGTGTTTCTATTATTTTGCCTTATCTAAACTCTCTTAGTGTGAGTTAACCTGCAAATTCATTTACCCATTGAGAGCATTTACCACACACTTAGGCCTCTATTCAATTGTGGAGATCCATTTAGTACCACCAACAGACAGTGGTCAGTCAGTTAACAGTGATTGATGCTGCTTTCCTCTCTCGCTCTGGGGTGGGGGTGACAAGAAAGATACATGAAGAGAGAAAAGAAATACAGGAAGAAAGAGGAGAGAGAAAAAAACAAAACAAGTGGAGAAACAAATGCCCTGCTGGCTGTTTCTCATATCCTCTCGGTGTTAGAGACAAAGCAGCAGATTGCAGTGCTGCGCTGTCAAACCTATCCTTAATCTCTGTGCTGTTAACTAATTGTAAAGTGCTTTGTGAAATACAGTCAAATATACTTTGTGGTCAGGCAAAGAGGCCCATATGCAGCCAGTTAGCTTGTATGCCAATATGTCAAGCTGGTGAATAAACTATATGCAGGCCCATAGCCAGGATTTTTAATATTAACACTGTTAAAATAACAAAATATTAAGTCTAAATCAGTTTGTTAACATGCTCACAATTACAGTCCTACCACAGTGATGTTAGCATAGCAGGCCATGTCCACCATCTTAATGTGTTAGCATGCTAACACTTGGTAATTATCACTAAAAGTACAGCAGGGCTAAAGGAGATTATTTTTGTTCTGTAGATAGTTGGTCATCAACCCAGGCACTGGGTTTAGATTCTCACCAAATTCTTACATTTTATCCCCTGAATGTGTGAATGAATGTCTGTGTCATGGCAATGTATCTACCACAGTTGTTGAGGTATTTCAGTCTGGACCAAAGTGGTGGACAGACTGACCAACAGATAAAATCACACTGCCAGCATGGCTGAAAGTATCTGAAGCAGCCTGACAAAACAAATCACTGGTCAGCAGAAGTTAAGGTGCCAACCATGAACCACAGTGCCTGATTTGCCCCCCAGCCACTGTCGTATATCATTACCCATGTCTTTACTACCTGCCATCTCTCTACTGTGTGCCTTTCAATAAAGACTTTTAAAAACCCACCACCTAACATGAACGAGATGTTACACAGAATGCATTCAAACCCATGGTTTTAAGACTATAAGCGACATAGCCTAGGTAAAGTACAGTACAAATGTGTAGCTGCTCAAATGTCGGTATTATCCTTAGTAGCTGCATTGCTAAAATTTATTTATTCCCTGTAACTACGTGTTGTCTAACCCTGTATAGAATTATAATGAAATTACACCACAGTGTACATCTGTACAAAACTTATTTATATGCAGCAATGTGCAGCATTTGTCTGAGAGTGAGCCAACCTCACCCAAACTTAAGTGTTATTGATTCCTTTGTGTTTTGCTTTTCCTGTTGCATTATAAAAACAAAAAGCAACGAGTCAGCCTGTTTGGAGTTAGCACGTTTGCATTAAACGCCACAAATTGAGATGATTTTTATTTAAGCATTGAGTGGCTGGACTCCGGGCATTAATGGATAGGCTTTAATAGTAGTGCCTTACAAAGATAAAGAGCCACACAGACAGTTAGGATAATTTACACGCCACTTACAGCACTAGTATACAAATAAATCTGGTGAAACTCCACCACTGTTGCTTTTGCGAAGATGACAAACACAAGCACAAATGCCATTATCATCGATCGCGAGGCTTTTATTACAAACTTCCTGAAGGAAACAGTTTTTTTTTTCATTTGAAGCTAAGGGGAATAAATTAACATGCAAAATAGAGACAGGGTTTGCGTTGGCCCGAAAGTCAATCTTGCAGCATCAAGACAGGACATTTTTCTCCCCAAACGACTCCATGCTGCCTGCAGTGAACAATGAACCGCAGGATGAGCAGTGAGTCTTAAAGCGGAGCTGGAGTCAAACAGAGGCCTCTCAATGACATCCTCAAGGTTGTGAGCTTAGGGCAGTTTTATTGTGAAACCGGGCCTTTTCCACTCAATAATCATCCAGGTGCAGATATGAGATTCAGATAGATGACAGGCAGCCAGAAGAGGAGGGTTCTTGAGCATGAAGAAACTATGACAAATACTGTAGTTATGATCAAATGTTTGCTGCACTGAATGTCTCTGTGTCCATTGTAGCTCCTCTTGTGATTCAATGTGTGTATGTATGTCTACAGCATATATGACAATGGTAGTGAACATGAGCCTGCCAATTAGATTTTTTACTGTTGGCTTATCTGAAGTTTAAAACCTCAGTGTTGGTGGAGGGCAAAAAGTCTTGTTCATCACCATGAGCTCCACATAAAGCATTAGCACTGGGTCACACACACAGTCTTGGACACCAGTGAATGAGCCTCTCTGATAATAGTGGGAAGTGTTTCAGCAGCAGAGGGATTTCTGCTTACTGTTGGCTTCCCAGTGTGAGGGTGTATGGGGGTGCTGCAGTGTGAGAAGCCGGAGGAGGAGCGATGTGTGTGTGTGTGGGGGGGCCACGGGCTTCCATTAAGAGCTGGCCAAAGCATTGACATGGTATTGCTTTTACAGGAGAGAGAAAGGAGAAGTAAAAAAGAGAGCCAGAGTGTAGGATGACTGTGAGAAAGACGGACAGAGGAATGATGAGAGTGGTACAGAGTAGAGATCACTGGAGAAAGTGTTTGAGAGGCGCATATAGAGGTACAAATGATCACCCTTATGAGATAAAGGCTGAGCACGCTGGCCATATTTAAAAGCCCTCCTATCTTCTCAAGTGCTTTCAGTTATTCTGGCTAATGACCTCTGTTCACCAAGGCAGCCATCTGCGGCGCTGTTCTGGCCAATGGGAGCAACTTGGGGTCCAGTGTCCTGCACCAAGGACACTTTGACATGTGGACAAGGGAGAACGAGAATTGAACCCCCAACCTTCCAATCGAGGGACCACTGCCACCCTGTGGTTGCTTAACTAAGTGAACCAATAAAGGTTGTCCCACCTTAAGAGAAAACTGACAGAGAGAGAGTGAAGGAGCAGTCAGTCATCCACAGAGTCCGGAGAAGAAGTCTATTCAGGCACAATAAGTGAAAACACCTGTGTAGGTCTGGTGTGGGCGTGCAAGGCCATTAACTACTTACCTAATAGGAAGATGATGATGTGTCATCATTTAAACTTTGGATGGCTGTAGTTCAGGTGGGAGAACGGGGTGGCCATCAATAGTCTTATTCACAGCAGACATTTTGGCTCGTCACGGCAGGAGAAGCACAGATGTAATGGATAACAGAAAATGACTGCATTCCACTCCTGCTCTTACACTTGCTGGCTCATTGTCCTGGCTTACTGGGACACTTGATGGAAATGAGCCATCGTTAATGAAATTTATTGCATTTATGCTCTTCCTTCATCCTTTCTCCCCTCTCAAAAAACAGAACACCACAAAAAGATTAATTCGTCCCAGTTTTTGTGAAATTGTGTTGTATTTTGTTTTGCAAATTTCTTTATGTAGAATTTGGTGCACAGGCTGTTGCCAATATGCCTTTAGCTGAAATGTACAATGGCTTACAGAGCCACCATAAACAATTGTTAATAGGTAAAAAGCCCCACTGAATTCCCTTCCAAAATATAGTGCAGCAGAAAAGTATAAAGTTGCATAAAATTGAAGCACTCAACCAAAGTAGTGGGTTCTTAAAACTGTACTTAAGTTTTCTACTTGAGTAAATGCAGTTTATTACTTTTCACCTCTGAAAATGCATAAATATTCACGATGGCTGAACAATACTGGGCCGGTGGGGTGTGTGAGTCTGCGGTTTGGAGCGGGAGGGAGCTGCAGTGTCAAAAGCAAAAAGCTCAGAGGAAAATTGAAGCTCCATAATGGAAGCGTAATGGGCTTAGTGTCAGAGTCTTGCAGACGAGTCGGGGGGGAAGCACCGCTGGCCGCACCCCCCCCTCCTCCATAATGGAAGCGTAATGGGCTTAGTGTCAGAGTCTTGCAGACGAGTCGGGGGGGAAGCACGGCTGCCGTCACCCTCTCTTACCTCAAGCCAGTATAACGGGGTTTAGGAAGCAATGAGGAGACAACAGCGGGCCCCAAACAGGCTTTAGAGATACACCAACAGCCTAATGGCTGGATGTGGATGGAATTCATAACATTGAGATGGTTGCTGGTTGTCGCTTTGTGGGATTGTAGCACATCATGTCTCAGACTCGGGTTGAATACTCAAAAGGTTTCCTCTCAACTCATGTAGGGTTTCTCCTCAAATTGCATAGTGGGGGATGCAGAAAATGTCATTGAGGAAGGCTCTGTGGCTGGAGTTTTTGAATGATTATACTTCTGGGAGAAAAAGTCCTGGCCCTCTACTCTCAAGTGATTTGTGAAACAGGGGAGGACGGGACACGGATGCAGATTTAGACATCACGTGGAGAGATTTGAATTCCCCTCATGCATAACACAGCCCACTTGCATCTCAATTCACTTCTGACACTGTACTACAGCTGTCAAGAGAAAAATTGAATTTGAAGTGGTGCCTCTAGTGATGACTACCAGTGCTGTCACAGATCTGAGTGACTGAGAACGCAACCAGACACGTTGAGATGGTTATCTAACGCCTTATGTCAGGGCAGATTTTCCAATTAAGTAAAATGTTGTGCAAGGCAGTGAGTTTGAGAGCAAAGAATTAAGCTTTGTCCTTAGAAAATGTGCATTTGCATCTTCATTAAAAACTGTGGTCAGAAGAAGGGCTTGAGGACAAGTAAAGCAGATTTGGACTTTGACTATGTTTTGATTAATTTTGGAGAACATCCACACTTCTTCTGCATGACATGTTAATATACATGTATAGAGAGCAGTGCTGTATGTACACTAAGTTCTGGGTCACAATCACTCAGAACCATATTATAATAATATTGCATTAAGGGGTAAAGCTGGTGATTTATTTTTCAGAGGGTTAACTGAACATCTATGTCGTAGACCTTCTCCAAACTGAACTACTGAACTATTTAATGACGATATGTCAAATGATTAAAGACTTCCTTAGAACGTAAGACAACTGAACAATGAACAAACTCGCAATCATGTTACGTGGTCACAGAAGAGGTTGACCCAGACTAAAAGTCCCGGCTGGCTGTCAGTAGGAGTGGGTGACATCTTACACTGTGTTCTTGTTAAAAAAGTATTAGAGACGCATCAATGAGCTACATCGCTGCACTGGGTGACGTCTCATTTCAAAGATGACCTCCAAAAGCTAAGAACGTCCATCATTTATTACAGCCTCTGAAGAAAGACAAAGTTACACATAACACCTGTAGCTAGTGGAGTAGTGCAAACAGAGCAGAGATCACGTGCATGCTTGGCCCATGCCATCATGTATTAAGTGATTTTTTTTTTTTTTAAATTTGCCTTCTGGTGAGAGATGGTTGACACAACTCAACAAGACAAATGCTTTTTTATTCTAATGAAGCTTATCATAAATAATGAGGAAGTGTATTGACTGTTAAAGCCAATAAATGAATACCGAATGTTCATGTGTTGGTGGCTGGTACATACGTGTATTAATTTAATCAGTATGAATGATGTAAGGATCAGGTTTATTGTGCTCACCACTAAGGTAAGATACAGCTGAGGAGGATATTCAGTGGAGGTATCACTGCAGCAGTATATACATGTATACTGTATATACACGTGCACTGTGATTTCAAACTCTAAATGTTACAGTATGATAGCTATCAATAACATTTGTGAACAGAGAAAGTCAACTTTAAACACTAATGATGATAAATGTCAAATGATTAAAGCATTCCTTGGAACATACAGTAACACAACTGAATCATGAACAAATCTGCAATAATGTAATTGGTCACAGAGGGTTGACCCAGACTAAAAGGCCTGGCCGGTTGTCAGACCTGGAGTGGGCCACACTGTATGTATAAAATCTTTTATATCATGATAATGATAAATAATGTGATATCATTGTTTCCTGGAATTTATACTGTTGATTGATGAGCAAAGCAATAGTCTTTTACAACAAGAGATACAGTATTTAAGCTACAGCTATCTCAGTATAGCCAAGTCTCAAGTTGACAGATCTCTGTTGTCTCACAGTAATTGTCATATGTGCTGATAAAGGCAGTAGATGAATTAAAGTATGTGTGGTGTGTTTCATTTTGCGTGTCTTAGCCAATGGAAGGGCTACTATTTAAACCCTTCACACCAAAAAGCTAAGTCAATCTGTTGCAGTCTTGGTTTTCGAACTGCTGGGGTTGAACAGAGTCTCTTTAGGGCTGAAGCAAGGACGGTGAGGAGGCTTGGCGAATGAGTGGCGCTGAACTGAGACTATGGCGGGGTGGGGACTGGGTGGCGGTAGGTGCCCAGTATTCTAGCCTTTCGGAGCAGTGTACTGACGCAGGAGGGAGGAGATGGCACTTGACTCGGTGACCTCCTCAGGTTGGATGGACGGGTCGGCTCCGGCGTACAGCAGGAGCTCCACAATGTCGGCAAACTCGCACGCCGATGCTATGAAAAGGGAAGAGAGAAATAAAGCAGAAGTTCAGCGGAAAGGAATCAAGAAAGGGGAGAAACAGAAGAGTGCAAACAGTAAACATTTGTGCACACTTTCTGCAAGTCATTTAGTTTTCTGCTGACTTTGGTGACCCCTGAACTTTCACCTTGAGCCACCAGCAGGACAGTTTACACTATTTCACTGATGTATCTAAGGGTCTAATAAATAGATTAGCACCAAATAGTGAACAGATTTAGTTCCCAGGTTTTAAGTGAAATGTTTGAAATGATGTGAAATTTGGTGCAATCATGCCTCCCTCAAGGTAAATTACAGTAGTGTAGAGTAACTAAGTACGTTTACTCAAGTACTGTCAATGCCGTAGTTGGGAACTGCAGCTCATTTCTGTTATGATGGTGTGTAACAGGTTAAATTTGTCTCTACATACTGTAACGTAATACGGTATATTCAGTGCCGCCCATCTCGGGCCCTGCACTGACACTGGCCTGGAGCTGTGGTTCCCTCAAACATTTCTGCTCAATGGCAATTTGTGCCCCAGTAAAAATGTCTTCTCTCTCTGAATAATAGGGGGAGGAGAGGGGAGGCCTGCACTTTCCTAACCCAGTTAGTTGGTCCCTGCTTTCTCGATGCACCTCTTGGCCCTCTGGCATCTCACACCCCCTCCCCATTTCCTCGCTTTTCCTCTCTTGCCCTCTCCCACTCTGAGTGCTCTTCTCTGTCAGTGTCAATCGCTCACTCCTCCTTTTACAGAGCAGACTCTGTGCTGCGCCATGATTGCTGATGTCAGCAGCTGCAGTGACTGACAGCCAGGCCTTTTAACCTCCAGCCCAGGCTGTGTGTGTGTGTGTGTGTGTGTGTGCATAAGGTATGATGATACATCGGAATGCGAGCGTTGTAAGTGTGTGCGTGTTGCTTGAGCTGCGTCTATGAGTCGTATGAGGTGTGTAAATGTGAAACACCACAAGAATCACTTATCTTTCAGCCAAATCAGACTAACAAAGCTTGGCTTATTTTTCCAGCCACGGTTGCAGTCCTCCTCTTGTTGCTCTAAATAGTGTTTTATTTAGTCAGCGGCGTGCGCACGTGGCAGCGGGTGTCTTGCCTGGGCCCTGAGCTGTAAAAAAAAAGTGTCTGGTCCTCAGGGGAGCCGTAGAGGAGGAGAACAATTTATAGTGAGCAGTAAACCCTCAATTAATCACATGCCAACCACTGTGGCCCTGTGCAAAGAGAGGTGGGAATGAATTTTCATTCTCTGCTATTTGTCTCTTGGAGTTCATCGCTTATGTTTATTAGTCATCTTTTATGCCCCATCCTTGGGGCTTCCTCTGCTGAGTGTGTGCGTGTTTGTGTATGTGCAGCAGATGACGCAACATGCCCAATCCAACGCCACCAAGACAGATGGTGCAGCCACACACACAGAGGCTCAGTGGACAGGGGAACTGCCCCTCAGGGACGTGTGGTGGGGCACGAGAGGGTCAGGGGTGTCTAAGGACCACCAATGATTTCCTCTGGGAGGCCTGGGGATTATAACACACATACACACAAACACAAACAGAGAACACAACCCGACAGGTAGCCACATAGGCACACGTACATATCACAGGGCACAGCCACACATGCATCCACAAGAAGCAACAAAGAGGAATGAGAGAAACTGGGTGGAAAAGTAGAAAGTAAAGATGATGAATGGAAGAAAGACAGTGGGAGGAAGAGAAGCAAAAGATGGCAAGTTTGAAATTTGTGGGCAAACAGCGAGTTTGTAAAGAAAAAAGTTGCTGTATATAAAGAGTGTACACACCAACATAATAATGCCAGCGTATAATAAATATACTGAGCTTTGTTCCACTATTTGAAAAATAGACACGTGTTTATAAAAAGCTTTATAGCAGAAAAAGAAAATCAATTCTGCCTTTTAAAAGTAAGTATACAACATTTTGGACAGTAAAGATTAATATGAGAGGCCTTCTTACCATAATGTAGCGCCGTCTGTCCTTCATTATCCTGTAAACGGCAAAAACAAGTCTTTAATTCAGCAGAGCTGTGACTAGGGAAGAATAAAATACTCCAAAGTGCAAATTCTAATAACAATATCAGGAATAAAACATATATATTGCTACTGTACAGTGTGAAAGAAAAAGCAAATTATGTCAAACTTCCCAAGAGTCACCAGGAACACTTTCAGCTACTAGAATACAAATTGCCTCCTTTGTGCGAGCTGGGGACAAAGGGTGCCATGTTTATGTCGTACCAAAGGGGAATCAAGAAAAAATGAGATATTGATTTGAGAAACACGTGACCTGAAAATGAAACCTTTCAACTTGCAGGTGATGTTCACCTCTGACCAACCCGAGTATTCCCACAGGGCCTCGTATGCTGAATCAATTCAAAATTAACTACAGTTCCCATGTTCATTGTACTGAAGGATCTTCTCACCCGTTGCAATAGTGTGGCTCATTGATGCACTTTTACTACTTTTTGACTACGCAGACAACACTGTGGGATAAACTCATTGCTGATTTTGGCTTTTCATAGTATCTGTTTCGCAGTAAGAAGAAATGTTTTCCGCCTTTTCCATTAAATGAATTCAACATGGAGGCTATGTGACTTTGACACAGCAGCTCAGGGAAAAGGCAGCGACTCAATGTCAGAGGGTGAACCGAAGATCAGTGGTGGTTTCTCTATGTGGGTGTGTCTCCTTTGAACAGTAAAAATGATACCTGGGGTCAGTGGTAGGGATATAATTCATATAAGAACTGCTGGATTGGGGACAAGGATGAGAATGTGTATGTGCACACGCAGGTCTAATAAGACCCAATATATGACAGGCATCATCAGCAGGAGGTTCAGTTCTTAATCACTGCTCCGGCCTGCCTTTGCACCTCATAATGATGACAAATGGTCAAACTGTTGCCTCTAGGCTCAAAAGAGCAGCCGTCGAGTTGAGTGCAGCGGTTTTAAACGCAGAGCGGCAGATTAAAAGTCAGCAGGTGCAGTGACATTTCCTTCTGTGCCGTCAAATGTCGCTGCAGTGGAAGAGCTCCCACATTACTCAAACTGTGACAGTGAAATTATTCATTAGTCTTTCCACCTTTGCTCTGCTAACAACAGATCCTCTTGTGGCCCTTCCTGCTTTGGTCGCTTCCCTGTCCATCCTCTACTTTCCTCCAATCCTTCCTCTTCTTTTTGTCCTGACCTCTCTTTCTCCAACCACACCTCCCTCATCTCTTTTCTTTCATTACCTCATCCACCATCACCTCTCTCTTATTCCAGTGACTCCTCTATTGTCTCTTCTCTCTCCTTTTATTACCACCTCCACCTTTCTTGCTCTTTTCTGTTCAGTCTCCTCTTCAATCTTAATCCTGTTCCTTTCAATGCCCGCTTCCCTTTCCCCTCTCCTTCTTCATCTCTTTCTGTCGTCCCTCTCTAGCTGAGCCCAGTGCAGAGTGATCCTATTGTTGTGTTTCTCTCTCTCACAGGGGCAGCACTTCAGGGACCTGCTGATTGGATTAGAGCTTTCTATTCCCTCTGGGTGGATCACAGAGCACAGATGCAAATCACCACCAGCATGGAAAGCGTGCCGTTGTTAACCCAAGACAACAATGTTGTCTGTCTGCGAGTCGAATCTCATCCTCTGATGTGCTGCAGACACTATGTCTGCCTTTCACAGTGACGTTGAGACGTGTGGGAATAACTGCACTAAAGTGGACAAATCTGGACATGAAAAACTGCTGGAGGGTAAAATTTTGGGACCCCGGGATTTTTAGTAAAGATAAAAGTGAAATGTTGAAATCTACAACATTTATTAACCCTTCCTCAAACAATTTTCCAATTCTTTTATTATTATACTACATAAAACACACAAGACTCAGAACAATGAGGCAGCGAGAAATGTTTACAGCTCAGAGCAAGTGAAAGAGCTTGAGGCACATAAATACCTACAGTTATAATTACAGTGCAAGAGGTTTAAGCTCTAATCTGCAGTTAGTTTTGGGAATCACCGATTCCATTCAGGCTCGACTGCTATTCCTTTGTGTCACGAATGTTCAATATCAATTTTACATCTTACAAATTTGACCATTCATATTTGAGCAACCAGAGTTTTAACTGTCTTTAAATTTTTACACCCAGTTGAAATTGCTTTTGCTTAGGGACATACATTTTCCAGTTTATATTTATATTTATTTTAAGGCTCTCATGTTTTTGCATTTGCACAACTTTAAACTGACTATTAATAATAGTAATAATAATACATTTTATTTGTAAGGTGCCTTTCTAGGCACTCAAGGTCACCGTACAGCAAAACACATGATGAAAACAGTACAATACAATAGTAATAAATAAAACCATGATAACTCAAATAAAACAAGATAAAATATAGTCAAAAAGACAAAATAAGGCATGGTGCAGGAAACTGAGGATTAAGTGGAATAGGCCACATAAACCAAAGCCAAATATTTTAGAGTGACTACCTTTCAAAATTTGGTGCGTAGGTTCTTATTTAATTCAACTTATTATGGCTATGATTTGCTTCCACAGTTGCTCATCACAGACATAGACAAAAGCAAGAATGAGAGGTTTTGTTGTAAAGTGAATATCTTTGGGTTTTGGGATGCTGGTTAGACAAAGCAAGATATCTGAAGATGTCACCTTACAATTACAGATCAACATTTTTTTTTTAGGACTTTGTCATTTAAAAGACCAAACAACTAAATGATGAACCAAGAAAATAATTTGCTGATTAATGACAACAATTAAAATAATCATTAGCTGCAGCTATAAGTGAGGCTGAAAGCAAAAAGAAATATAGGATCACGCTTGTGAGGAAGAACGTCTGGCATGCCAGTCTATGTGTGGAGCATTTATGCTTCTAGCATGTTCGTGTGAGGGGTCACCAGCCTGTCCTCTCAGCATTCCCTAATGCCCCCGGACCCAGGACGGAGACTTGATGGAATCGCAGGAAATTGGATTGTCTTCCATTTGCTCAGGAACCAGTGTGGAAGAGACACTCCTCCCTTCCCAGCCCTCCACCCACAACAATACCTGCAGTTAGCTACTGTATCCCCCCCCCCACATTGTACCCCTGTTCCCATTCCATTAGGCAGACATGTCGCACCGAACCCCTGCTATTACATGTCATCCAAAGTTTCCCCTTGCGGTACAGAAATGTTGGGCTGGATGTCAGCAGAGTGCTCAATAAAGCAGCTGCTTGCACAGTACCTGCAGCAGAGATCCAGCACTGTGTAGTGTATCACCCTAATGGGGTGGAGCAATATGCTTAGAAGCAGCATGGATAGGGATTGATCTATTAGTACAATAGTGGTTTTGCTGAATTTAAGTCACACCAATCTATCATTTCTACAGAAACGATGTGAAGCAAGATGGATGAAAGAGAAAGAGTGGAATTTGGATATATGGCACACACATTTCTTTAGCTTTACGCCTTAACAGATCAAAGTGATACTGCAACTAGTCTGAAATTGATGCAAAGAAAGAGAGAAACAGAGCAAGAGAACAAATGATTGTGTGTACACATCTGTGTGCAAAGATACATTCTAGTCCATCAAAAAGAAAAAGACTCCTGGATGCTTGTTCAAGTTAGATTATCTTAAAATAGAGAGCGCTTGCCCCACTCAACACCAGACTAAAGCAAGCCTGGGACAAACACAACCCTTGTCTGTATCGCTATTTCTGTGCAGACAAACATACAAAGAGATTGTCACAGATGTTGTGTTCATTTCTGGAGTTCAAGTTCAACTTGTTTTCTCCATCGGTCTGTCATCACGGATCTCGGACGACAGGACAAGGACAGTCCAACCGTTCAACCCAAACTGTTTATATCAGCATTAAATGGAGGGATCTAGGGCATATCAGCGGCAGAAACGTCATTCAGTCAGGGATACAAAGAGGATGCAGAGGGCCCCTTGAGTCTGTGTCTCCTTAAAACTAGGTTTCCATCTCTCTGCATTTCAGTTCTGTTTGTCTGTTCAAGCTAGAAAAGAGATTGTGGGTCAAAAGCCTGTCAAATACACCACAAGCTGTGGAGTGTGTGGCAGAGAGGACAGTATGTGGTGTCCCCATGGACCGCAAAAGCTTTCATGTTTTCATACCATGCCAATCCAATTCCCAGCAATCCTCAGTATATGGTGGGTGATCTGGTGGCCACTCTGAGGATTTTCTTTCTTTAACATCATTTCCTTTATTGCTGCTATATCAAGCGATCTCTGCCCAGATGTGCTTCTTCTTTGTGCAGTCTTTCTAATATGTATTAACACGAAGGTTATTTCAAAAATAACACAATTTAATTATTTAATTTAATACAGATACAACATGATTGCTGTGCTCCAGTGTCACTAAGTAAAATACTACTTGTTTGACCACCATAATGGATGTCTTGCTGACTGGACTGCAGTGCACGAGTGATACTGTGTGCTGAGTTATTTGGCCTGTGATTAAAGTTTTCAAAAGTATTTTCTGTTGCATGGGAATGGTCACTCAATAGACTGTTGAGTGTACTTCAATTGCTGCTTTTCTGGCAAAAGCGGCTTGCTAATCGGTGGGGGTTATGCAAAGTCAGTCATGACTTCAATTAGCTCTACATCGCAGTGGACTCAGGAACTTTAGTAGGGCCTACAAATTTTATGTTCTAGTTATTTCACCATTTATAAAGGGTGTGCAATAAGTAGTGACAGTACATGTATCGACAACCATTAAAATCAAACTATTATAGCTAAGTAGATCTGCCAACCTGATATGAACTGAGTACCGCATACACAATTGCCACTAAATATCCATCCACGACAATGTTTTCCTTGTGGTACGACATAATGTAACAATACTGTTGCTATGGGTTTACACTCTGTAAAATGTGCACTGCTAACCAAGCAACCATAGCTACTCATTTCCATCCATCCATTATCTATTAGTCGTAGCAAGCAGAGTGATGTACTAGCAATATGGCGACGGCCAGACTTGAGCTTCAAAACCGGTCTTCAGAAAACCAG